ACACAGTGCCCAAGGAGAGGAGAAATGCCCAGGGCAAGTGGGTCTGAGTGTTCAGCTATCCCACAGGAGCTCCAAGTGAACACAATCCCACTGCTCCTGCAGCTGAGCCAGCTCTGTGACACTGTCCCCTCTGCAGGTGGTGCTGAGTCGTGGTGTGCTTGGCCCATGGAATGTTGGTTCACCCCAGGATTACCCCCTGACGGAATCCGGGGTGGCAAAAATCCCAAAGAAGTGCCAGGAGTGCACATTGTTTGGTTTAGTGGTTTTAAGGAAAGCTGCTCAAAGACACTGGGGGTTTTGAAGGGGGGCTGGTTTCAGTGGTGTCCAGCCAGAGGGGACAGTCCTGGGGGCTCTGAGTGTTTGTGGGGTTTATGGGGTTCTGTTTTGTGGGGTTATGGTGTTCTGTTTTGTGGGGATTATGGGGTTCTGTTTTGTGGGGTTATGGGGTTCTGTTTAGGGGGTTATGGGGTTCTGTTTAGGGGGTTTATGGGGTTCTGCTTTGTGGGGTTTACGGGGTTCTGTTTAGGGGTTTATGGGGTTCTGTTTAGGGGGTTCTGAGCTGCACCTGTAGCTCAGCAGCTCTTTCCAGGCCTCCTGTGGCTGGGGCAGGGAAGGTTCCCCTCAGCCCTGGGAAAGGCTCAGCCCCGACTCTGCCCACCCTGAGCACCGGGGCAGCACCCAGCACTCCATCCCTTGGCAGCAGCGGCGGTGAACCAAAATTGCCTGTCCTTTCAGGAGCCTTTGCTGGGTGCAGGTGTGCCCCGGGCAGTAACCATGTCTTCTTGCCTTGTTCCTCAGCAGCAGCACGCCCAGGGCAGCCCCGTCCAGCTTCTCGCGGCCGCTGGTGCACTCGGCGCGCAGGGAGCGCTGCCGGGACTGGAGGAAGCCGGGCAGGATCATCCGCAAAGCCTGAGCCGGAGCTGCTGCCGAGACAGCCCCCCTCGGGTCTGCAGCACCTCCACACCGAGAGCATCCATCCTCCAGGGATCTGCGTCCTGCGGCTTGCCACGGCGTGGGGGGGAATGAGCCCCTTCTCCCGGGAACCATCCCTGCGGAGCAGCGGGACGGCCCGAGCTGGGACAAGGATTCTGCCACCCAACACCATGAAGTGACTTTTCTTTCTTCTTCCCCAAGGGCTGAGTGGATGGAGAGCAGATTTCCCGGGGAAAAATGGAATTTGCTCCTGCATGGGCAGCCCTGGGAAGACTCCCAGTGGTTTCAGGCTCCTCTTCTCTCACTCCAGGACTGCTTGGGCAGTCAGCAGTATTTCCCAAAGTGGCTGGAAACCCTTCAGTGTCCAGTTTGTCACCACTCCCAGGAGGAGTTGCCTCTCCTGGGGCACCCAGAAGTCACAGCACTTTGGGAATGCTGGCTCCCTGCTAACCTCATGCACTAAGAGCCTGCCAATTATTTTCTGCTTTTCCTCACCTTTGTTAAATGAGTTGCTCCAGGGAAGAGGAGGGAAAATGTCCTGAACCAGTGACTCAGAGTTATGTCATCAAATGTAATTTACTGCAATGGCCTTGTAATTAGCATTTTTGGAGCCTTCCCAGCAGCTGAGGCAAATAAATGTAAGAGCCACTTTCTAATGAGCAGATAGGTGGGGAAGGAATACAATCGTGCTCTTTAGACTCTGCTGTTCAGGCATAAAATCAGATTTTAGAGGCAAAAGTCAGTAATGCATCCGGCAGCCCACAGAGCTGCAATCGTGGAGCATGGAAGGATTCTGGGATTCTGACACTGGGCTCTTAACAGCAGCTCCCCATGGCAAAACTGCTCCTTATTTGCTGAACATAATGTTTGGCTCAAACACAGCCTGTTTTCCTCGTTGCCAGCCATTTGTGAGCCTGACTCAGGCTCACAGACACATTATCCAGAAGCAGATAGGAAGGGAATAGGAATAGATTATGCATTCATTATCCAGAAGTAGCCACCAGATACATTTGCACATTTGTCTGCTGCTCGGTTGTTTGCAAATGGTTCCTGGTGGCTGAGGCTGTGTTTGTTCAGCCACCCAGGGCTGGAAGTTCCCAATCCTCTCTCCCAGGCAGGCTGCATCAGTGACTTGGATGTAAATCTCTGCTTTCACCTAGAGGAGATGAAGCTTCTAGCTAGAAGTTCATGCCTTGTGTTGAGATGGTTTTGAAAAAGGATGCAGAAATAGCTGTGAACAGTTTCTGCACATTTCAAAGCATAAATTCTGTGAAATCATGAAATTGCATTTAAAAAATTATGAAATTCTGCATAAAAACTGAAATTGTGCCTCAGTTCTTGGACTCTGGGGCTGTTCCCCTGTCCTGATCCATGCAGGTACAAGTGACAGCAGCAAATGGAGATGTCAGGAGCGAAAATGCTCAGGAAGTGTTCCTGTGTGCTGGGGGAGTTTGCTTCCCTGGAGCTGAGTGTGTCTGGGGGATGTTTTCCCCACTCTTCTGCCATAGCCTGGGTGAGTTTGGGAGCTCTGGCTGTGGAAAAAGGGTTTGAATTAATTCCTGCAGTGGGGCAGGGTAGGGCTGGCCCCAGGACCATGCTGGGCTCCAGCCTCAGCAGGACAGACAGACTGAGCAGGGACAGAGATGCACCTTTAAGGAAGGGTGAAGGGCCAGGACTGCCTTGCCCTGATGATCACATGCTGGATTTATCCCTGTAAATACAAAATTGTTTACTCCCAATAAACTCTTTTACATACACAGGACTCAGCCTGTCTCTGTTCTCATTCAGTGTCTCTGCTGGTTTTGCCTTTCCCAGCCTGGGAGCCAGTGGAGGTGTTGGCTGGAATCTGGTGGTGATCCAGTATGGATAAAAGCTGCATTGACAGCACAGATATTCATGTTCTCATCCTTTATGCAGAGGAACCCAGGACTGCCATCCAGAGTCTGGTTTTGGGTGGTTGTAGGTTTGGGTTTTTTAATATTCAGGTCACTCTGCAGCTCTGCTGGAGAAAGTTCTGCCCAAGGAATGTACCCTGGGGTGGGAGCTGGTGGTGGTGGAGAGCTCAGGACCCACCAGCCTGCAGTGGTGTGGACCCCAGAGCCCTGAGGAGTGGCAAAACCCAAAGCTGGCTCCAGACCCTGCAGGGACTCACCCTCCCCTTGGCACCTGGGCTGACCAATGGGCCAGGGCTAGGGGGACACAGCCAAGGGTGGCCAGTGGGCACCTGTCTGTACCCCCTGAGGGCTTTGGGTCTGGCTCTGCACCCCTCAGCACCCCTGGACACACATTTCCCTGTGCAGGAGATGGGGGAGACTCCTCTGCAAAGAGAGGCTGTGCCATGATGTCACAATGCACAAGGAATGCCTCTGGACAGGAGTTCCCAAAATGCCCCTCACGTGCTGCAACCTGCCAGGGTGCCTGTTGCCGATTCCCTGACTTCTGGAACTCAGCCTGGGCCCTCCCCCTGTCAGGGGAGACCCTCCTGGAGCAGTCTGGAGTCAGGAAAGAGAGATGCACTGGATTTGTTAGATCTTCAGGTTCTTGTTTATTATTATCTTATCTAGAGTTTTGCACGCTGTCCACACCAGGCTCAGCGCCACAAAAATGGCCAACAATCTCTCATTACAATGTCTTTTAAAGCTAAACTATCCAATTAAGCACTGACACCTAGATTATTTCCCCTTTTAACCCAATAACTGATCCCAAAGAGCCTGCAATGCGGATTTTTCCATCCAATTGCAAGATGCCACCCAAACCCATGAAGAAGGAAGAAGAAGTATGAAGAAGAAACCCAGGATGACACCCTGTGCCCTCCATCTTGCTTCTATCCACAACATACTAAAAATCCCAAAACCTAAATTTACCACCTAAGTGATACACCTGCACTACTCCCTACCACCTGCTTCACACTTTTGTGGATTCCAGTCTATCTTGAAGTCTAGAAACTTTCTCCATGGATGAGGAAAGTCAGTGCTCCCCTGTGGGTCAAGGCACCCCGGAGCAGACAGAGAAATATTCTTGGTGCCCTGGCTTTCCACAGTAACCAGCAGTGCCTCTGACCCAAAACCAGCACAGCCACTGCACTGAGCTGGGCTATTTGGTCCAAAAGAAGACACATGCCCCAAAATACCCAAAACCCCCCAAGAACCAGCACTTCATGGATGTGCAGCTTCCCCCGAGGGGAACGGGGGAAGTCACCTCCTGTGCCTTCAGCTGGGGCACGAGGCCGTGGGGGCCGTTGGCTCTGCTCAAAATAGACTCTGTGGGCTGCACCCTAAACCACACTTTTGTCAGAAACTTCCTTTCTAGCTTGAATTTCAGTTTGCAGCCCTTTCACAGTGAGTCAGTGAAAGCCCTGATCACCCTGGAGCTGCTCACAGGAGAGTTCAGGGAGCCTTTAAATCATCAGCTTTGGACCATCCATGGACTAACCTTCCTGCAGGGACTGTTTCCATCAGGTCCCAAAGAGTTCATTGGGATGGAGCACTGGGATTTCACCCTCTGGGCTTTTAACCTCAGCTCTGGACATGTCCTGCCTTACAGAGCAGAGAGTTGGGGTCAGTGAGGGTGGAGCAGGTTCACAGCGTGGATCTGCTGGAGCCCACACCCTGGAGATCATCTTCTGACCAGCTCAGCAAAGCCCTCTTGGGATTTCCTTTGGCCTAGGAAGGCATTTCCAGAAATTCCCATTTTCTGACCCACCCCGTGGCGCATTTGGTGTGACCTGGAGACACAACGCTGCATCCACAGCTCCTGGTGCCACCACTCTGCAGCCTGTCCTGGGCAAACTGCACCCACAGCTGCTGGGTTCCAGTGCTGCAGCTGAGGTCAAGCCAGGCAACCCCTGCTGGTGTCAAATTCTGCCCTGGAGGGCACAGCTGCTCACATTTATTGGTGTCTGCAGAACCTGGCAGCCCTGGCTGCCCAGCCCAGCTGCTGTGAGCACACACCTGCTGCTGCTGCAGTTTGGGAAGTGATGTCACCCCAGCAGTTTGGGAAGTGATGTCACCCCAGCAGTTTGGGAAGTGATGCCACCCCAGCCCTGCTGAGCTCTGCCCCCCTCGATGTTTCCTCTGTGGCCGGACCCTGCTCTCAGAACTCCTTCACCTCCATCCTCAACTGTGCTCGGCCCACGGTGTCTCCAGCCCAGAGGCTCCTGCTTTTGGGGCATTTTGAGCAAAACCCAGCTGTTTTGGTAAAGCAGCTGCTGCTTTGGCTGCTGAAATCTCCCACCCAGTGCACAGCCCGGGCCCCAGAGCCGCCTCCTGCCCTTCCCTCCGTGCCTGGGACACTGCAGGAGCGCAGGGTAAGTGTCCCCTGGGCTCTGTGCCCCCTTTATTCACATTCTGTCTCACCAGGAATCGTTTCTAAAGGCAAAGCTTTCCCTGGGTGTCACCCCAGGCTGCAGCGGGGGAAGGAGTATTTTACATAAAGGGTGGGGAAATCTCTGTCCTGCTCAGAGCTGGAGGGCTGGATGTGGGTCCTGCTTCCTCCCCTTCACATCCAGATCAGCTCTGATTAAAAAAATCACAGAATTCCTGACTGGTTTGAGTTGGAAGGGACCTTAAAGAACCTGTTCCACCCCTGCCATGGCAGGGACACTTCCACTGACCCAGGCTGCTCCAAACCCATCCAGCCTGGCCTTGGGCACTGCCAGGGATCCAGGGGCAGCCACTGCTGCTGCTCACCAGGCAAGTTTGTGGCTAATGGTTTGTGTGGTTCCCTTCCAAGTTAAGCAAAAAGTAACTTTTTTTTTTTTTTTTCTGCTTTGCCTTGTTCAATTAAATCCCATTTCTAATTCCTTGATTAATCCCCACCTGCCTGCCTCACTGGGGTTGCTGTGAAGCTTAATTGAATTTGTCTCTCTCATGCACCTGGCAAGCTCAAAGGTGTTGTTCCCCACTGTCAGAATGCTCTTGTTGGATAAATCCTGTCACCAGCAAAATGCACCTTGGGTCTGGGCTCTGATTGAAGTGAGGAAATACTTTTGGATTAGTGATTTGATGAATAAATAAGAGGACATTTGTTATAACTGTGGAGAAAGTTTCTGTCCCAGTGCTCACATTTGCCAGAGTGGCAGCAAACAAATGAAGTCTCATATTTCAACATTCAGCTGAGCAAGAGATGGGGAGGAACTGAATCAGGATAATCCCTTTTTATTCCACCAGGGAGCATAACTCTAATGATTTTGGTACTAAACACTTCTGCAGGTCAGCAGTCACTTTTTGAGTCTTAGCTAACTGTTCTTTAGGGATTCCCTCAGGACAGGCAGCTGTGAGACCCAGAATAGTTCCCAGGCATGGCAAATAACAAGGAATTAAAACATATCTAGCAAGCAGTGCTAGCTCAGGCTACATTTAAATCCCAAAACCTAGCCTAAGCACCCTCCAAACCCTATTGAGTTTCCTCAGTTGGAGCAGTAATTCCAGGAAAATCCTTCCATTCCAGACATGTTTGATTTAAAGGAGTTTTTGGGAATATGGTCCCTATTAACTTAGAGGAAAATGGTTTTGCGTTTGTAGTATTTTAAGGTGATTTCCTTATGCCTTTCTGAGATGGATTTGTGCTCGTAAGGAGCATGACCACACGATTCCTTGGTTAATCCAGATTATCAGTGCTGGTGGGGAATTAGGAGCAGATCCTACAGCCAGGGCTGAGGGTTTCAGCAGGAAATTACAGGTGCAAACGCTTCCTTCTGCACATTCCCTGGCTTTCCCATAACCCTTCCTGCCCAGAACCATCAGCTATTTGCATATTGACGCCGATAATGAGCACTGGAGGCTTTTCCTGATGTCAGAGCCCAGTGGTCACTGGGGAGGAGGCTCCAGCTGCTGCCCTGGGGCTCAGGGTCGGTCCCAGCCTGGCTGTGGGATGCCAGCGGTGCCAGGCTGGGGTGTGTGGGCAGCCCGGGCTGCCAGAGCCTCCTGCCCAGCAGGAACTGGGGCCATTTGCCCTCGTTTTTAGGTGGTGACTCGCAAAGGAGCTTCCTGCTGCTGAGCTGGCAGAGCCTCAGCAGCGCGGGGACGGAGCTGCCCTGCCAGGGCTCATCCCAGGCTGAGGGAAATGAGTCTGCAGAACATCTCTGAGGTTTGAGAGGAGCTTTATGTAGTGGGTATTTGTATGTAAATGTTGAGGTAAGAAATACTGACTTAGAAATGCCCCTCGGTTGCCCCATCTCTATAATAATGTATATATTATTATATGCACATATAACACCAGGCTGGCTGCACCCCCGGGGTGCTGCCCTGCCTGGGGGCTCCTGGCAAAGATTTATTCCTGCTCCAGAGCTGTGGAGGTGGAAGGGACCTCGTGAGGCCACCCAGTGCAAACTCCTGCTCAAGCAGGGTCAGCCAGTGAGGACTGTCACGTCCAGGTGGCTTTTGAGCATCTCCAAGGATGGAACATCAGCTCCCTCAGCCCTCCAGCAGCACCTGCCAGCTCAGGGTGCCACCATCACCTTTGTTGGTGGCTCATGTTCAAGTCAGAGTCCACCAGGACCCCCAGGTTCTTTCCTGCCTTTCCCTGGTCCCTCTCTGAAGCAGAAATTTTTATTTCCTCACTGTTAAAATTATAAGATTCCTGCCTCCCCCTTCCCAGCCTGTCCAGGTCCCTCTGATGCACTACCCATCCCTCCCAGTTTGGTGCCAAGAGCAAAAATTGTCAAAAGGGAATTCTGCCCCATCACCCAGATCACTAAATGTTAATCAGGACTGGAGCCAGGATTCCCAGGATTGACCCCTGGGGTACAGAATCAGTCCCTGCCTGCCAACCAAACTTTGTGCCACCCATCACCACCCAGCCACTCCCCCAGTTCTCAATCCACTCACTCCCTGCTCCTCCAGCCCCAACAGCTCACACCCTAAGAGTCAGGGCTCCAAATCACCAAATCACTTCTGCAGTGTTGGAGGGGATGAGCTGCATCTTGAAGTTTATTTTGCACCTAAAACAGCTGGAAAATTGCCATGGGAAAATCTGCAGGTCAGTCAATCATCAAGGGTGACTTGCAGGGAGCAGAGGCTGGAGACTGGAAGGCCACATCCCCTGTGACCTGCCAAGCAGGACCTCGGTGGCTGTTCCTGCTCTGAGCACAAACAAAAGCAGTTTTTAAAGCTCCTGCCATGGCAAGAGGCCACTGGAGTCTGCAGCACCTCCAGGCTGCTCGTTGATGGAGGCGGGAGCAGGATAAATATTGACAAGATGGATTTGTATGAAAAGGTGCCTTTGGACATCCCAGGCATGAGTTTTGGTTAAAACCCCTCCATACTCCTTGAAATCTGCCCCACTGGCCTGTGTTCAGCCCCATGCTGAACTGGCTTGTGGCCCCTGCTGGGGTCAGTCCCCCCCAAACCAGCAAAAACCATTCCAAATCAATTTCTGCTGGAAATGGGGTGATCAGTGGCTGCTTTGCACCTCAGTGCACCCCCAGAAGGTCACAATGTTCATTTGGCCCAGCCCCTCCCTGCCCCAAGGGGGTACCAGCCTTTCCCAGCCCAGCTAAAAAATGATGAGCCAAGAAAACCAGCACCAGCCAGGGCCATGAGATTGTCACCCTGGGGACGTCCAGAGAAGCTCCTGCTTTTACAGAATTCACAGAATGACTGGGCTGGAAGAGACCTTCAAGACCATTGAATCCAGCCCAGCCCCAACCCCACAGATAAACCCTGGCACCCAGTGCCACATCCAGGCTTTGTTAAACACACCCAGGGATGGGGACTCCACCACCTCCCTGGGCAGCCATCCCAGAACTTTATCACTCTTTATCTCCTCCTGCACCTCCTCCAGCTGGCTGGCAAGGGCTCCTCCTCGTGCCTCAGTTTCCCTCTGTGCCCTCTGCTGAAGCTCATCCCCCATCCTGAGCAGTGGGAGCTGTGTCAGGCGTTTCTCCCTCTGCCAGGGGCTGGGGGTGCTGATCCCATCCTGCTGCTGGGCTGTGGCACAGAGGGTGACAGAGCTGGAGCTGGGAGGGGCCCTGGAGGGAGCAGCCCTGGCCAGCCCCAGGGAGCTGCTGGAGCCTTGCTGGGACCTGCCTGGTAAGGGCCAAACACGGGATTATTTTGGCTTTCTGCAGAGGGAGAGATGGGGACAGGGTCCCCACGGGGCCGGGGGCTCAGCCAGCAGTGCCCCTGGGGACGGGCAGTGTCCCAGCAGTGTCCCAGCAGCAGCTCCAGGGGCTTGCTGAGCCCCCCGGGCCCCCAGCACAGACACAACTTTGACTTAATTAACAAAAGAAACAAACCAATCTTCACCAGTGTCCAATAACTAAATCACTTTGAATTAACAATCTCTATAACGCATTCCACAAGTGTAAAACAGCAAGAGCAATTAACAGAAACAAGAATTGCTTTCTTTTCTTCTCTTCTCTGAAGTTTCTCACTACCTTTCCCAGGAAAAATCCTGGGAAAGAGAATTATGTCTCTCTCTGTTCAAAGAATGTGAATAGCACAGAGTGGGTGGCACCTGGTGAGGGACCAGGAGGAGGTTCCTGCCCAGGACTCCCCTTCTGCCCTGGCCTCACACACTGGGAGAGCCCGGGAAGGGCTCCCCAAAACCTGCTGTGCCTGGGCATGGTGGCACCTAGGATGGCCAGGGGTGTCCCCTCCCCAGCAGGACACCATGGCCAGTGTCACTGGGGCTGATGAGGGATGCCATTCCTGGATCCCATGGGTGGCACAACACAATTCCCGGGGTTGTGGCCCCTTTTCCTGGCCTCTCCCAGTGGCTGCTCTGGCTCTGCTGCTTCCTTCCCCCCTTCCCCATCCCTCTCCCTCTTGCCCAAAGCTGGCTCGGGTGCGAGCCAGGGGCACTGCCCAGAGCAGGTTCCTGCCCTGCCAGGCTGGGGTGGGTGGCAATGAACCTCCCCTGGCTCTGGGTGGGGTCCCCAGCGCTGTCCCCTGCCTCCGGGCTGGCTGTGTTTTGGTGTCTGGGGGTTCAGCGGGCCCCCAGGAGCCGGTGACACCTCTCTGTGGGGGTGTTGGCCTCCCTCGAGCTGCCCTGGCTCCTCATCCATCCCCTGGGCAGCCTCCTCTTCCTCCTGCCCGGCCCTGGGAGCCTGAGGAGGGCCCGGGCTGCGCCTGGGGCCGTTCCCTGCACAGGGACCCTCTGTCCCCTCGCTGTCCCCACCCAGCCTGGCACTGCAGCGGGGACAGCCCGAGCACGGCCGTGCTGCTTCACGAGGAGCTGTGTCCTTCTCGTCCCCTTGCCACGGGCAGCACCGGGCCAGCGATGCTGCAGCCACCACAGCTGTCCCCAGGCCAAGAGGGACACGGCTCTGCCAGCTGGGGCTGTGTCGGGGCTGTCCCCACAGTG